GTTTTCTCAGTGAGTTTTCCGTAATCGCAATTTAACTCATCCAACTCTTTCCGAATCGCCCAAACACTCTGAAATGTCCGTATTGGAGCTTCCGGTGTGAATGCCAAGAAGTATGTTGTTTCTAAATTTCTGGCGGAACGAATTGCGTCATGGTAGCTTTTCTCACCAACTGACCCTACCATACTATACACGCATGCGCGAAATTAAAAATATGAAATGCGGACAATTTGCCCACCGCACCTTATACATATATATATATATATATTAAGACATTTTTTATGTTTATACATTCTTTTTATAGATACAAATATTTAAGTAAATACTCTGTTTTATAATAAACAATATTAAACAACATTTACCGGCCTGAATGTCCGAGAAATTTTCATAGAAAATATCACTCCTCTTTCTACGAAAATTTCTCGGACATTCAGGTTGGTAAATGTTGTTTAACTTGTTTATTATCAAACAAACATTTAATTAAATATAAACATAAAAAGTGTCTTAATATATATATATATATATATATATATATATATATATATATATATATATACTGTTTAATTAAAAACAGAGCATTTACTCAAATAAGTTGTATCCATAAAAATCACGGATAAACAGAAAAATATTTATCAAACTGAATCCATTTCATATAATATATATATATATATATATATATATATATATATATATATATATATAGGTGGAGTTTATTATAAACAGAGCATTTACTTAAATATTTGTATCTATAAAAGAATGTATAAACATAAAAAATGTCTTAAAATAATTGTCGGACTTTGTCCATTTCCTAATATATATATATATATATATACATTAAGAAATGGACAAAGTCCGATTTAATTTATTAAAGTTTTTATGTTTAACATTCTTTATAAATAAATATTTAAGTAAATGCTGTTTATAATAAACAGTATTAAATAACATTTACCGGCCTAAATTCTATGAAAATTTCTCGGACATTCAGGCCGGTAAATGTTGTTTAATACTGTTATAAACAGAGCATTTACTTAAATACTTGTATCTATAAAAGAATGTTAAACATAAAAAATCTTTTATATATATATATATATATATATATATATATATATATATATATATATATAAACCTAGTGGAGCCAGACAAACCTACTAGGTCTGCTCTACGGTTGTATTGAGCTCTTTTGTTAGTTAGTTGTTTACTCGTATCGGGGTTTTTTCTTTGGGCTTCAAACCTGCATCTGTGCGATTTTTTTCGACAGACTTTCACGTTTCTAGCTCTTTTTTTTTTTAAAACCTTTTTTTCCTTCGAGATTGATTTGATTATTGGCAAAACAAAAATTCGAAGGTTTTTTCGAAACGAGTATAGTTATCTATATTTGTATATATATATATATATATATATATATATATATATATATATATATATATATGTGTGTGTGTGTGTGTGTGTTGAGAGGTCCTCCCCTTTTTACACAATTGGCCTCACCCAGTATATGCATATACTACTGCTACGTGAAGACCCGAGAGAGCAACAGAGGGTGAAGGTAACAGACAAACAGACAGACAGAACGAACGTAGCCAGCAAGAGTCACAGTGATCGAGCACGTAGAATCATTAAAAAGTCATACAGCGATACTTCAATACCAAAGACTGTATATATATTTTGCTACTAACCCGTATTCCTGGAACTACTAACCTGCTTTACCAGTTTGTATTATTACGTTAATACATTATTTTCCTATATTCATTCCTGGTGTTTGTTATTTATTGGTACCGGATTTCAACCTGGAATCCACAACAATATATATATATATAATATTTTTATTATATATATATATATGGCAAATTCAGACCTTTTCACCATGTGTGATATTGATGGTATTGAGTCCTTTCTCATGAAATCACAATTACGCTGGACAGGTCATGTGTTACGTATGCACGACAACAGTATTCCCAAAATGCTCATGTATGGTCAACTTGACAATGGTCATCGAAATGTGGGCCGGCCTTTGCTTAGGTACAAGGACAGGCTGAAGAGTAACCTCTTAGCTGCAAATATAGATCACACTACCTTTGAGAACATCGTAATTGATCGTAATGAATGGAAGATTACATGCTACAATGGCATCAAGAACAAGACAGCATCAAACATTCCCAAGCTTCGTCAAACTAGGGAAAGGAATAAAATATCTGCTGCTGTTCCAGCCATATACTCCAAGAATCCACACTCTTGCACAATCTGTGGACTTTTTTGCAAATCACTTGCGGGACTGAAGTGTCACTTGCGACTCACGCACAAGGTTAAATAAACAAAGTTGTCGGAACCTTATACGTCGAAACCGACGGGAGAGTCCATCATATATATATATATATATATATATATATATATATATATATATATATATATATATAAATAAAAGATTATAATGAAAGCATTTTGAAATCACTACACAAAAGTTTCGTGTTTCAATCGTAAAAAACGCCGTCAACATTATTTAAAAAA